GCCTCTGCAGATGAAAAAGGCGGAAGAAAAGCGAGAGCGTAGCCCCGACCTTCAGGTACTTACAAACAAGCTCGAATGCCAGGATGAATGCTACAACAATGGGGTGCAGTTGCGAGTGAGCTAACCTCAACCAATCGAATACCCCCAGCTAAAAGTCCATGAACAGTAGCCTGAGCCCGGCCTCCCGAAAACAAAATTCATACATGGGGAACCGCATTTTTCCGAACACCGAGCAGATGTGGTGTTGTTCACGGGGACAGTACACCTGCTAGTTCTGGGGCCCGTCCGCGGTCCTGTCCTCCACAGTGGCGAAAGCACCAGTTTGCTCGTCTACAAAGTACGAGGACGTCGCCAAAGGCTTCTCTGCCACCCATTCCTCGACCGGACGAACTCTATCCTCGACAGTAGGAACTTTTGGCTCTTCGTCCACGTCCATGGGCCCCGGGACCCACGAAGTCATGATCACCTGAAAAGTAGAAGGAAACAGTGAATTCGATGCCCAAGATCAAATTCACCCTTCCACCGCAGGCCAAGTGAAAGGGCGACGGTGACAACATCCGCGACGATAGTAAAAGCCATCCGGCCAGCCTTCCTCGGGGGATTCATCCTATACCTCCCATCGTCCCCGAGAGACACGCCTGACCATAGCACGCGCCCCCGGGGGCGTCCATCTAATCCCTATCATGCGTCCTCAGGGGATTCATCCCATACATCTGATCTTCCCCGGAGCATTCATCTAACCCTAACGTTCGCCCTCGGGGCATTCATCTAGAATTAACGCCTGTCCCCGGGGAGTTCAAACTACCCCATCGCGCCTCCTCGGCGCATTCATCCAAAACTTAGAAAACCACCGCCTATCGCGGCGGAGATCCATCTCCCTCCTCAGGGCACTAAACACACCCCGAATCTAGCTTTAGCATACGACGTGAAGAAAGAACAAGGAAAGGGAACTTACTGGGTTACTGGTAACGGCGGAGTACGCGGCGACAGTTGTGGTGGTGTTGACGAACGGATGCAGGAAAGTCAAATGCCGCATTAGAAAGAGAGCAGAATCGAAAATGAAGAAGGAGCAGGGTCCCGCGTACTTATACCCTCAGCGCGGGACTCGAAGCGTCCCTAGACACTCGAGTTCCCTAGGGTAGCCTCCCCACATGGCCCATCAAACGCTTGACACGTGGCAAAGGAAACCAGACGTGTCCCTTTGTCCTCCCCGGTCTGCGGTCCTGTCCGGCACGTGAAATGCTCGACAACGCGTAGACGTTCACACCCACACATTCTCGCGAGACACGAGCCGACAGAACCTCTTTACACACACTCTCCCTCCTTGGAGCATCATCATCAAGTCCTCACTCATTTACGTTGGAGCTACGACTTAGGGGGCTCCTGTTCTGGACTGGGCCCAGGTTTGTCCAGACAAGCCCAACCAAATTGTACATGGGGAAGGCCCCAACCAGCCCAACAGGGCGGCGTCGAGAACAAGACCTCTGTCGACCAGAGGCTGCCCTCTCCAAACAGAACACCTCAACCGTCGGGCAGGAGCTTCCTCCCCATCGGGCAGAACAACATGTCCTCCACACGTTCTCCACGTGCTCCCCTCCACAGGGGCACGTCCTCATCCAACTATCCACTTCTGCAAGAGTTGGTCAACCCACCTTCCGGAGATCACGAGACGGTTGAACTAGGGCGAAGACCACATGCTGGTCTTCACCACGCCACGTAAGCCCTAGCAATCACCTGGGTTGGGCCTGACAATCCAGCACAACACAAGTGACCGTTGGTCCTGCGGTGGGGTCTTTCTATAAATACCCTATTTCGCAAGAGGGTCAGGTATTCAATTCTCTATCTCTCTTCTGTATTTGCTCTCACTCTGGTTCATTACTCACTTTGGCATCAGAGTGCCTTGCAGGTACACCCCTCTCCTCTTCCATACCTCCGGTGAATAGGCGGCAGACCAACGGCGCGTTGCAGGTCACTAACTTCCTTCTGGTCAAGTCAGATCAGATTCGATCCTGTGTTTTGGTCTCATACTCTCAAGTATTTTTCAAACAAAAATAATAACGTTTAATTCTCTTTGACATTTTTAATTTTCTTTGATTTTTTTTTGAAAAATAGTACAATTTGGTTTAATATTAAAAAAACATAATTACATAGAAAAAAGGAATCATAAATAGATTTGATTCCTCTTTAAAATCATAATCAAATTCAACCACTCACCTTAATTTCATTTTATTTTTTCAAACAAAACAAATGAAGATTTAAATTTTATTTATTTTAAAATACGTGATTAAAAAATTTAACGAATTAGTAATTACAATTAATTGTATTAGAATGTTAATTAATACAAAATTTTAAAAAAAGAGACAATATAAAGGAGTTTACAATTGTATTATTATAAACATTTATATTATTAAAAAATTTATATTATAAGTTAATAAAGTGTTTACTAAAATGTAATTTATAATTGTATTATGATATTAAATTACCAATTGTATATATTTTTAAAAGGAAATTAATATACCATTATAATTGTAGATTAAATATTAAAACTCTTTTATTTTAAAAATTCTACAAGTTAAATTTTTTTGATTTATAATGGAAAAAGTTATAATTGAATCGTTTATAATCAATTAATAAAAAATTATCCATACTAAAATAACATTGAAGTTTTATTTATGTTAATTTTTATTTATCGATTCATATTCTTCCTTATATTAAGAAATTTAAAACATCATTCTTCGCTGTTTGTTATAAATAAAAATATATCAATCTAAATGTTTATTATCTATCCATCTAAATGTAAGATATATTTTTTAATTTAAGAAAAAAATTCCAAAATTTATTATTAAACACAAATTTAAGCCTCAATTAATTCCATTATTTACTATTAAATACAAATTTAATAATAATAATGATATTGTAAACATTTTTACCAAATTTAAGCTAAGTTAATTTCATTATTTAGGTCATAATTGTCATTAAGTATTTAAAATTAAATTAATATATTATTAAATGATAAGATTTTAATTAATAAATATAATAATTAGAAACATTCAAATATTAGATACAATAATTATGAAAGTAGATTACATGTGACATCTTTCTATTTTTTTATATTTATTTTAGAGATATCTTTGAATTAGTTGTAATAATTCAAATTTCAAACTCAAATTTGCTTTTTCATATTCCTAGAGAATTTATCTATTTTTACGTAAACCTTTCCATATACCATTTCATATACCAAGAGAATTAGTTAATATATTTTTAATTTCTTAGTAAATTATAACTACTAACAAAATTAAAATAAAATATTTAAATAGATAATATAAATAAAAAATTACAGAAAATAATTATTAACTCTTTCATTTTCGACTTCAATTTTTTTTTCAATTTCAAAGAAATTCCATTTTCAAGGACTGCATCTAATATTTTCTAACATTGTTTTTCTACAAATCCCTGGTAAGTGTGCAAAGGAACCTGTAATACAATATAGTCTCAGTATCTTGAGAATAATTCAGCCAATATCAAAAAGAAATTTATCTGGAATTCTTAATATTTGTCTTGAATTATAGAATTTTTTTCCTTCCTGCCATACTATTACAAGATAAACTCCAAAATGTCATAGTTTTACAAATAAATTTCAATATGCCATCTTTTCAAAAAAATTTAATTTTTGGCACAACGTAACCGCCCATCCATTGGGTGGCAGTGTGTTATGCAGATTATTGGACGGCAATGTCTCTGAATTTTTTTCATTTTCTTTTTTATTTATTATATTTAGTTAATTATAAATAATAATTGTTAAAATAATTATAAATAGATAATATTATAATAAAAAAATAATTACGTAATGATAAATAATAAATTTTAAAATAAAATAATTATTAAATAGATAATATTATTATTAAATATAATAAATATATAATATTTAGATAATTATTATATTTACTACATTGTTTTTTTATTTATTATGTTTATTATATTTAGTTAATAATTATTAAATAGATAATTATAGTAAATTAAAATAAAATAAAATAGAAATAATTATTTTAAAAATAGTACTAATTAAAATAAATTACTACATTGAAATATAATACAATAAATAAACTAAAATAAATATTTATTTATTCTTGAAATAAAAAAAGTACATTAAAATAAATGAACTAAAAATTCCTATTCACCCTTAATTAATTTTGTCCCGGTCGACGTAAGCGTTGGTGGGTTCCACAGGCAGGAGTTTGTACATTTCTGGTGGACCTTCTACGATCAACCTCAGCGTTTTGGGTCTGTGTAGATGGACCTGCATCATTGTTAGGGTTCATAAATTGAGCGACCAAATCATCATTGAAATCGTCGTCACATGGTATCGCCGCCGCACTTTCATAACTTAATCTTGTACCCTCGTTACTCCAACTTGGTGGGTTTATAGGTGGCGCCGCGTTAGTCATGTAGGGGGTGTATGGATGTTGGTCTTGAGAAAGGGTGAAGTTTTGTGAAGGGTAAAAAGGAACTTGTGGTTGGGGTGTTTGGTAGTTGTGTTCTTGTTGGGTAGGTTGAGAGAATGAGAATTGGTTATATTGGGGGTATGATGAGGTTGGGTTTTGTTGTTGGATGTTGAAGGGGTTTGGGTTAAATGATGTGTAAGGTTGATTGTAGTGTTAACTTGGGGTATAAGGTGGTTGTGTTGGGTTTGGGTTGAATGGGGTGTTAAATATTTGTTGTGGGGTGTTAAATATTGGTTGTGGGGTGTTAAATATTGGTGGTTGGGTGTCATAAGTCATGGAGGGGGTGTTTTGGAAGTTTGATGAAGTTGGTTGGTTTCAAGGATCCCACAAGTATCTATTTTGTGATAGATACAAATTGGTCACAGATCTATACCAACTCATGTATTCTCTACTTGGTTTACATTCGGCATCCATGACATTTCCTCGTAGAACAGTGCGGCGACGATTCATCCAGTGTTGTCGTTCTTGTCTGTAATGGTCTCTCCAATCATCGAATTTTCATTGGTCGTTCGCTGCACTCTTGTGGTACCTCTCCATGCATGTAGGTGGACTAGGAATGTCTTGTTTAATTCCGAATTGGAGTTTCACCCTATCTGAATGATGCATTTCAACAATAGTGAAAGAAATTATGAATGTTGTAGAACTCCACATATCGCTTTCAGTTGGATCCTCATCTTCAAGTTCAAGATAGGGTCTCCATCGAAACTATAACATAATTAAAAAGGGATTAAAGGAAAAAAATATGAAAAGTGCTAGCAAGAAAATAAGGGATTAGAGACAATACATCATCTTCCTCAAAATGATCGAAGAACGTCCGATACCCAGGAGCACAATGATGCGGAGTTTTTTCGTAATTCATCCCATACGCGGACCACCTATAAAAGAAATAGTTAGTAAAAATTATAGATGAAAATAATATATACATAAACTTTGTATACTTACTTGGTTGCGTATGGAAAGTGAAATGGATTGGGGTTGATCGGTGACAGTCTGGGCATTCTGGACCATCCCCAGGCTTGAATCAAACCACCAGCGCATATGACAACCCTGCCACTAAACGTAGAAGGAACGTCGTTTGATTGGCCACGGAATTTTCGTTTTCCCGCGGAAGGTGACATAGAAGTCGGTTACCAATTTAAAAATAAAGCTGACTGTGTCGCTGCCATTAAGCAATACCACATGAAACACTGTGTGGATTATAAAGTGATAGATTCCGACAAGAAGAGATACATAATTTGTTGCAGGAATGATTCCTGTAAGTTTCGTCTCGTGGCGTCCTACCGAAAAAGAAGTGAGATGTGGGAGATAGGAATTATGAAACCACCCCATATTTATTCAACAACTTTGTTTAATCAGGATCATTAAAAACTAACCTCGCAGTTAATGTCTCAAAAATTAATGCCTTTTGTAGACAAAGATCCTTCTATTAAGGTTAGTGTTTGCATAAGTAAAATTGTTTCCGAATTCAATTTTACTCTGTCTTACAGAAAGACATGGATAGCAAGAAATAAGGCAATTGAACAAGTCTACGGTAACTGGGAGAGCTCGTACAATGAACTTCCAGATTTTCTGTTAGCACTTAAAAAATATGTTTCGGGCACTGTGCTGGAAATAGAAACACTACCCATGTATGCATCTGACGGAACTATTGTTAAAGGGAAACACATCTTCCACCGGCTATTCTGGGCATTCCAACCATGCATCAGAGGTTTTGCCTATTGCAAACCTATACTTCAAATTGATGGAACCTGGTTATACGGTAAGTACAAGGGTACACTGCTTATCGCAGTGGCACAAGATGGCAACAACAATATATTTCCGATTGCTTTTGCCCTTGTGGAAGGTGAAACCGCTGAAGGCTGGGGTTTTTTTCTGAGAAACTTAAGGAGGCATGTCGCGCCACAACCATATCTATGTTTAATTTCAGACCGACATGCATCAATTGAAAGTGCATACAACAATGCGGAAAATGGTTGGCACGATCCCCCTTCAGTGCATGTTTATTGTATCCGACACATTGCACAAAACTTTATGAGAGAAATCAAGGACAGGAACCTACGGAAAAAAATAATTAACATGGGTAACTATATTTCTTAATATTCATTAAATTTTGTCAATAACATATATTATTTTGTCAATATTTTAATTTGATATTTTAATTATCCAGGATACGCTTTAAACCAGCCAACATTTTATTACTGTCGGTCAGAGATTGGCATGGCAAATGCAGATGCTTTAAGGTGGATTGACAGTATTCCAGCCGAAAAATGGACAAGGGCATTTGACGGCGGTCGACGTTGGGGTCACATGACTACCAACCTTGTCGAGTCAATGAATACCGTCTTTAAGGGCACACGTAATTTTCCCATTACAGCATTGGTAAGGGCAACGTATTATAGACTAGGATCTTTATTTGCTGAAAGGGGTGGAAAGTGGAGTGTTGTGTTGAATTCTGGCCAAACATTTACAGACAACTGCCTCAAGGTTATGAAAGAAGAAACAACAAAATCCAGCACACATCAAGTCAGAATTTTTGACTACAGGAACAATGTTTTCAGTGTGCAAGAGACAATGGACCATGGTGAGGGGAAACCTATGGGACATTATAAGGTTGACCTCTTGAACGGGTGGTGTGACTGCGGAAAGTTTCAAGCATTTCGTGTCCCTTGCTCACATGTTATCGCTGCATGTTCGAATGTACGCCACGACGCTTACGCTCTTTTGTCCGACGTTTATAGGGTTACAAACCTGTTTGGGGTTTACAGCGCAAGCTTTCCAGTGATGCCATGCGATGAATATTGGCCTGTTTATGAAGGAGATCAAATTTGCCATAACCCAAGAATGCGGAGGAACAAGAAAGGTCGCCCTGTGAGCACACGTATTACAACAGAAATGGATAACTTTGATAAGCTTGAGAGGAAATGTTCCATGTGTCGTCAAATGGGGCACAATCGCACCCGGTGTCCCAATGTGGGAACAAGTAGTCGTTAGTATTTTTATTAATCATCATGTATTAAATAATATTAGTTAATGATTTCAATCAATATAAATTATGTCTTCAATATATAAATTTATATTAATATTAATAATAATGTCACATAATACATATATTAATAAATACTAATATTATTAATATTAATATATATTAATATTATAAATATTAATAATATTAATTTTAATATATTTTAATAATATTAATATTAATATATATTAAAATTAATATTATTAACATATATTAATAATAATATATATTAATACTTATATTATTAATAATATAAATATTAATATATATTAATATTATTAATATTAATATATATTAAAATTAATATTATTAATATATATTGATAATAATATATATTAATAATAATATATATTAATATTTAATATATATTAAGACAGAAAAACGAAATGTATTAAAATTTGGTCTTGGTCACTACCGCCCTTCCAATGGGCGGCTCACTTCAAATTTCAACACAACCGCCCAATGAATGGGCGGCAGCCTTCAGCCAAAAAAAATCGTTTTTGAAAGAATGGCATAATGGAATATATGATGAAATTAATGGCATTTTGGATATTTCTCCCCATAAAGATGGCAGGGCAGTAAAAATTTCTCAATTATAAGTATCACATTTTGAATGACATAAAGAAGAATGCCATGCTATAGATATAGCACATTATGATGGTATATCATAACTTTTAAGTGTCAACCGGTTCGTCTTCGTACCTTATCAGCCAAAGGTATAAGGTAGTCCTGAGAATTGACAGAGTCACCATCTTCTCTCTGCAAACACACAAACTCAGAACAATCATATTTATAACACAAACATAATACCTTGATCAAGGCCACATACTTTTCAAGGGAATAAACTTAGTTAAAGCCACATCTCAATTAAACACATTAGCACACCTTCTCTTATATTTCCCTACTTCTCATTCTTTACTCCTCCACCAGGTGTGTCAAGATGATATAAAAGTATTACTTTTCAATTTAATACATTCTTCATGATAGCTTATGAAAATAGTCTACAACTTATATTAAAAAGTTTTATTTTATTTGGATTTTTGTTATAAAAATAGCTTATAAGTTGTTAATTAAGCCAGTTTGTGCAAGCCAGAAGTGATGCAGTTACTCAGTTTTCCTTTTTCATTTTAATGATTATTCATAGGATTAGAACACTCAAGAAATAAAGCAAGTCTAACATTTATATTTCATACAGAATATAAAAATGAAATATAATCAGTAACTAAGACTTACAGTGCCCTCAAACATTTGAATTGCTTCTTCAGCATCCTCCACGCTCCCCATGGTAACAAACGGGAATCCTCTTCTTCTATACACGATCATTAATCATTATACACAATTTGCATATATTACATGTTTTCAAGCCTATATGATGCAATCTTCAAATAAATTTTCCTTGAACGTGAAAGTTGTAGAGCATCTTCCAAGATTTCTTTTGAGCACTAGAACTCTTCCATTGGATGTTTAGAGCTCGAGTTATGATCTCTCTAAAATAGGATTTCAAAGATGTCAAATTGGACAAGTTTTATGCAGGTTTTTTAGGCAACTTTCCAAGACACTTTCCACCAAATTCTTAACCTCAAATAAGCTTTCTTTGAACACCAAAGTTATATATCATTATCTAAGATTTCTAAGCATAACAATAACTCATCATTTGAGTGCCTAAAGCTCAAGTTTTGAAGCTTCAAAGTTGATGTCATCAAGTGGTAGAATGTGCTTCTTAACTTAGAATTTTTCTAAGTTACATGAGATAGTTTTGTGCATCCAACTTCCAATCAATTTTTCTCATTGATCCAATTCTTATTTCGCCATTCCACCAACATGAAACTTACTCATTATCTTCCCTACTTTCCATTGATCCAAAGAATTCACATTTCGAGAAAGAATCCATCAAGTTATGTTTGTTTAAAGTGAGCTACGTGATTTGTGTTCAAGGTATCATTTTCATGCACCATGTGCCATCTTTCATGCAGCCAATATTCCTTCTCTTGTCATGCGCATCATATCTCACAGTATTATCACCAAAAACATTATCAAACATTACCCAAATAAGCTAAACAAAGCCATACACCACATGCACCAATTTGAAAATCCTTACCATACTTGGAAATGTAGTAAACTCACAAAACCTTGCCTTCCACTCCATTCCCATGTGACATCACATTTTTACATCATTTGCACCCTCCTTTCTACTCATATACCACAACAAGACCACACAAAGTGGAACCCGTGTGAACTTTTTTGCCTTCCAAATGTGAAAACAAAATGATGACATACCTCATGTGTAACACCTCGTTTCCCAAAATAAAATAAAACAATTAAATAAGCACACATCAGAGTATCTCCCACAATGGGATGTTACAATTCACACTAAAATTCCACAAAACATTTTTCCAAATTAATTTCTCAAATAAAACTGCATCGGAAAATATATATACATAGTCTGTCATAAATCCCAAAACGTCATATATATATATACAACAATGGCCATCCGCCCAAAATGCATAACATCATCAAACAACACCACACATATACCAAAAACAGATACGCCACATGGGCACACATATCAACATCGACAGTAAAACTCCCAAAACGCCCCGGTGTTACGTATCAGAGCAGTCTTACAGAGACACCACAATCCAAGCTAGCTAACCACCTGGATTGTCTGTACTTTCGAAGAAGCACAGACCACAACAACATTAAAGGGGTGAGAATCACGATCAAATAATAATGGTATAATGGTACATGAAATGAAAGGCAGAAACAATAACTCATTATTTCACATACAACATATCTGGACCTACTGTCCAATGCCACCACACTATACATACCATAGATACAACACATATGGACCTACTGTCCCCTCATTTACAATCACAACACGCACAAACCACAATGCAACACATGCACTCGACTCAACAATCATGCGGTACCGACTCAACTCAGGATAGATCGCATACATTCCCTCTGAGCAACGATCTATCCCTACCACACTCCTCATGAGCTCATATAATCACATATCAACGTCCCCCACTTGGGACACGGGTGGTCGCATACACTCCTTCCGAGCAACGATCCAAATTCCCGTCCACGCTC